TGTGCTGTCTGCGTCACTCGTAGCACGTGCCTATATCGTGCGCCACCGTTTTATCGCCCATGCCTATGCAGAATAATTTCTCGATTCCCGATGCATCGATTTATTTTCTCAGCCCTATAATGTTGTTTAGTACACGGAGGTTATGGGAAACAGCTGTAATTCTACTGTTCCAAAAGCGCCACCTGCTGTCAGAGAGTGGATTTACAGAGACTTAGATTTACATTCAGCCTGTGTACAGTTTTTATCTGGGCAAAAAAACAGACCAAATTAGCATGCCCTGCTGTAAATTTTGACCTGTTGATGAAAAACAAGCTTATGAGTGGGGTAAGTTTGAGCAAATTCAGGTTTTTTTTCTTTTGGAGTACTTGATTGTGGCGATCACAGCTTTCTGTGGTCAAATGTTTGTATAATGACACAAAACTGTATAAATAATTGGTGTAATAGGCAGAATTGTGTAAACGTATTGCATTATTGCAAAATAAACCTTAATTTTATTCAAGACTTTGATTGCCATCCAACAGGCCACCTGAGCTTGTGCCAAATGTGTGAAATTTGAGAGCTCTACGACACGAGTTCAACATTGCCGCAGAGCGAATGACCTCAGAGACGCACCATGAAATCCATACAATCTGTGTCCGTTTGTGCTCTATAATTAGTCAGTTATTTACTTATTCTTTCCAGAAAATGTGACCGTCTAATTTTGCCTAGTTGGAAACGTTTGCCATTGTTCCAGCGTTTGGAAAGTGTTATTTTTCACATAATAAGTAGTACTCAGATTCATGCAGAAAATAATAGAATCATGTTTCCTAATTAGCAAAGGGGTGGAAAATTTCTGGAAACTTTCCAAAAATCCCTGGAATGTTCCAAAATAATCCTGGAATGTTTCCGAAATTTCTGGAATGTTTCCGAAATTTACTGGAAATGTTCCACCTTTTTGCGACCCTATTCCTAATAATACCTGAGGTCTTAATGTTTCTCTCTCTCTGTGCATTTTCAGATTTGAGTGGGACAAACTTCTGGAGAATGTGCATTGTTTGATTATAAGTGTGACAAAGACTGACAAGCAGGAAGCTTATATACTCAGGTGAGCTATTGATTCGTCAGCACAGCATTGTGACGACGCTATGATCCTTCAGCCTTCAAACCGCTCAAAATCAACAGCATTTTCAAGATTTCATTCACATCACACCACTGAGAAACAGAACCAGAAAAGTGCCGTGGGTTATTCATAGCGACGTTACAGCCCAAACTGATTTACAGATACATTGTGAATGTTGCGCAATTCGGAAATGCGGCTTAAAGAAGTTAGATACGTTGCAAATGTCATTTCATGTTGTTTTTAAAAACTAAATAGCTCAAATGAAACATGTTACACTTTATTTTGAGGTGTCTTTGTTACATTGTAATTATACATGTAGCTACTAAGTTATATTTATTAACTACATGTACTTACTGTATGGTTAGGGTTTGGCTTAGAGTTACTTGCATGTAATAATGATGCATAATTTATTCTAGTCCTGTCAAACGATTAATCGCGATTAATCGCATCCAAAATAAACGTTTTTGTTTACATAATATATGTGTGTGTACTGTGTATATTTATTATGTATATATAAATACACACACACATACAGTATATATTTTGAAAATATTTGCATGTGTATATAAATGTATTTATATTTTTATATTATATATAAATATATTTAATATATAAACATAACATAT